TGCCATATGGGTTCTGGATTCGAACCAGGGTCTTCTGCAAGAACAGCCAGTGTTCTTAACCTCTGAGCCATCTCTCCAGCCCCCATGTCTTAATTTTTATTCTTTACCAAATTCAAATTCTCTTATTTTTTCTTTTTTCTGTGTCATCTGCATGTTCCTGTGTGTCAGGTGTGTGTGTGTCTATGATCTGTGTATCTGTGTCTGTGTGTGTGTGTCTGTGTGCATGGATGTGCTTACATGCATGGATACGTTGATATCAGCGATCAAACTTGGGTGTTGTTCCTTAGAATGCCTTGCTTTTTGAGGCATGGTCTTTCATTGGTCTGGTGCTTGCTGATTTGGCTAGGCTGGATGTCCAGTGAGCCCCAGGGATCAGCCTGTCTCTGCCTCCATAGCACTGAGATTATAAGTGCCCCTCACCATGTCTAGCTTTTTTACGTGGGTTCTGGGGATTTAACTCAATTCCTCAGATGCAGCAAATACTTTCCTTTCTTTTTTTGTTTATTATTTTTATTTTTTATGTGTATGAATATTATGCCTACATGTATAGTGCACAATACTTGTACAGCGCCCACTGAGGACAGAAGAGGGTGTCAGACCCCCTGGAATTGGAGTTACGGATGGTTGTTACCCACCATGTGGGTTCTGGGATATGAACCCAGGTCTTCTGTAAGAACAGCCAGTGCTCTTAACTGCTGAGTCATCTCTCTAGTCCCAAGGTCCTGCTGAGTCATTTCCCTGGCTCCTCAGTAGGGCAATTGAATGCTCAGAGCCTGGTCTCCTCTGCACCCAATGGCTCTGTGACACTCCTGGTATGCCTGGGCCTCATTTTCCCTCACACAGAGGCCATGGACCTAAGTTGAAGATTCTAATTTTGGTCCAGACTAGAGACTCAGGAGAAGGGGCTGGGGGACCCAGGGGACCCGAGGTTAGTTCCATCTCCCAGACCCATGTCTGCCAGTACCTTTGTCTGGATAACTTGCCGGGGAAAGTCACACATGGCGTTGGTCAACCATCCTTCTAAGTTTTTTGCAAAGTTTCTGATGGCCTGGGTCAAGGAACCTGGGGGTGGGAGTCAGAGGCTGATGGTGAGCTGGGTGGTGGCCCTTGCCCTGCCCCATTCTGTGTAGAAGACACCAGCAAGAGTGGAAATCCCTGCAGAGGAAAAGTGACTGCTATGGGGTGACAGAGGGCCCAGGGCACCTGGGGAGGAGGCTGCAGACTGCCTGGTAGTCATACTGGGGGAGCGTCTTGTAAGGAGTCAGTGAAGACTGGGGTAGCAACATGTGGGGGGTCAGGATGCCCCACAACCAAGAAGTGCCTACCACCGGTACCCTCAGCACCAAGGGGCAGACTCTCACACATAAGCCCGTGCATGTGTGCTCTCTCAATACCCACATTTGATTATTTATATTATTTTAGTTTATTTCTTTGAGATAGGGTCTCACTATGTAGCCCCAGCTGGCCTGGAACTCACTATGCAGCTCAGGCTGACCTTGATCACACAGAAATCCACTTGCCTCTGCCTCCTGAGTGCTGGGATTAAAGGTGTTGACCACCACACTGGCTAATTTATTTTTTATTTTACGTATATGAGTGTTTTGCCTGCATGTATGTAAGTGCATCCTTCCTTGTGCAGTAGCCAGAGAGGTCAGAAAAGGGTGTCAAATCCCTTGGAACACTAGTTATGTATAGACAGTTGTCAGCCGCCATGTGGATGCTAGGTCCTCTGCTCTCTAGCCTGTTTATGGTTTTTCTTTTTTTTTTCCTCTTTTTGAAACAGGGTCTTCCCCCGTGTAGTTCCAGCTGGCCTGGAACTCACTATGTAGACCAGGCTGGCCTTGAACTCACAGAGATCCACCCACCTCTGCCTCCTCAGTGCTGGAATTAAAGGCATGCACCACCATGTCTGGCCCTGTTTATGTATTTTTTATTTTATTGGTTTAAAAATATTTTTATTTATTTGCAGGGAGAGATGGTTTAGCAGTTAAGAGCACTGACTGCTCTTGTACAGGACCCAGGTTCGATTCCCAGCACCCACATGGCAACTACGCACCGTCCTTAACTCCAGTTCCAGGGGAATCCGAAGCCCTCTTCTGACCTCCGCAGCATTGCACAACATGGGTGCACTCACATACATGCAGACAGTACACTCATACACATAAAATAAAAATAATAAATAAAATATTTTAAAAATATTTTTATTTGCTATGAGTGGTGGTGCACACCTTTAATCCCAGCACTTGGGAGGCAGAGGCAGGTGGATCTCTATGAGTTCAAGGCCAGCCTGGTCTACATAGTGAGTTCCAGGACAGCTGCGGCTACAGGGAGACCCTGTCTCAAAAACACCAAAAAAAAAAAAAAAAAAAAAAAGTCAAATAAAATACATGGATTGCCTAGCAGGTCCCCAGGTAGGCAATGGCTCTTTTGATTATAATTTCTGGCATTAAGTGCCCTAGTTGATTTAGAAAGACCTACACTGGGTGGGACAAAGAGCCCCAAATATTTCCAGATTGCCTGCAGGCCTCACTCAGCCCTGGTGTCTGAGTTGGGCACGGCACCCCCTGGTGGCAGGTGTGGTCACTTCAATGAGCCTGGCTGTCCTGGGGACTGGCAGTCTGAAGGCCTGGGCACCTACTGTCTCATCTCTGATCCCTGTGGGACCTCAAAGGGCACAAAGATGCAGGTGTCCCCTAGAACCCCACAGCACTGGGTTGGGCAAGGGCAGGTGCATATGTAGGGTCAGAAGGTCCCATTCAGGGTCAAGGTTGGGCTCAGAGACTGTTCCCTCTCTAATGGGTCACAGCATATGTCTCCTGGTGCCCACAGGTAACCTGGCGACATCAGGTACCAGTGGGGCCTTGGGACTGGGGTGGTGGCAATGGCTTCTCTTATAGGTGACTCTCAACCACCCTCGCCTGCCCTCCAGGGAACCTTCTGGAAAACTCTGTCTGGTCCTGCTCATGGCAGTGTGCTGCTGGCTGGCAGAGCTCCCCAGAACCACTAACCTTGAGACCTGGGCTGAGAAACAAGGTCATCTGAGCAGGCAAGGGGAGACACTTCAGGGCCAGTTGAAGGATGGTGCTGGTGAGCGGGAGGGAGGCAACAGGCCTGGGGGCCTGGGGACCTGGGGAACCTGGGGGACATGAGGGCCTGGGGACCTGGGGATCTGGGGCCATGGGGGCTTGGAGGCCTGAGGGCCTGGGGGCCCGGGGGGCCTGGCTCTTACTGGGCACAGGCCGAAGCACATCGGGTATCAGAACTTCCACCAGCGCCTGGTAGAGGATGTGGTCGCAGCTGCGCATCCATTGCAGGATTGGGTCGTATTTACAAAGTGCAATGAGCTTGTCCTTGGGGAGGATGATGCCTTCTGGTTCCTCAGCACTGTGGGAGGATGGGAATACAGTGAGCCCAGAAAGGCAGGGCGGGACGGGTCTCCAACTAGGCTTGTCTTTGGGTCTCAGGATGCTGCCCTGTCCCTTATTCACAATGCCCTGGGCAGATGCACAGCACCGCCAGGTTTCCTGCCAGTAGCACTGTCTTCAGTCCTGACTGCTGTGGTGATGTGTGTCACCACAGGTACTGTGCTGGGTGAGGTTCCATCAACACCACCTTAAAACCCTCCACTGAAGCAGGGACAGTGCAGTGTCTAGTGTCCCAGGCCTGTCACCTGACACAAGGAGACTGGAAGAGGAGGAAGATCACCAAGGTCAGGCCCATCCTGGCATACAGATTGAGCCATGGTCTGCCTGGGCAACTCAGTGAGACCTCTCAAAATGAAAGGTAAAAGAAGGCTGGGGTGTAGCTCAGGGTAGAGTGACAGCCTAGAATCCCCAGTGAGGGGGCTGGGGGCGTGGCTCAGGGTAGAGTGACAGCCTAGAATCCTCAGTGAGGGGCTGGGGGCGTGGCTCAGGGTAGAGTGACAGCCTAGAATCCTGAGTGAGGGGCTGGGGGCGTGGCTCAGGGTAGAGTGACAGCCTAGAATCCTGAGTGAGGGGCTGGGGGCGTGGCTCAGGGTAGAGTGACAGCCTAGAATCCTGAGTGAGGGGCTGGGGGCGTGGCTCAGGGTAGAGTGACAGCCTAGAATCCTGAGTGAGGGGCTGGGGGCGTGGCTCAGGGTAGAGTGACAGCCTAGAATCCTGAGTGAGGGGCTGGGGGCGTGGCTCAGGGTAGAGTGACAGCCTAGAATCCTGAGTGAGGGGCTGGGGGCGTGGCTCAGGGTAGAGTGACAGCCTAGAATCCTGAGTGAGGGGCTGGGGGCGTGGCTCAGGGTAGAGTGACAGCCTAGAATCCTGAGTGAGGGGCTGGGGGCGTGGCTCAGGGTAGAATGACAGCCTAGAATCCCCAGTGAGGGGCTGGGGGCATGGCTCAGGGTAGAATGACAGTCTAGAATCCCCAGTGAGGGACTGGGGGCGAGGATCAGATTGTCACATGAGACATGTCACTAAGTTAAACTGAGGGCTTCATGTCTTATGTGTTGGGGTTGGAGTGTCACCTGGCAGGCAGCGAGGTGCGGTTGTCACTGGAGGTGGTCTTGGAGTTCCAGAAGGCTAGCCAGAGCTTCTCAATGTACTGAAACTGGAGGTTCATGACAACGTCTAAGGTGGCCTAGGAGCGGAATCAGCAGTCAAGGGCTGGGCCTGGTCAAGTGCTTCAGGCTACGGGCAGCCTCAGGGGCTTCAGAGGGGCCCAAAGGGACCCTATGGATGAAGAGAGGGACAGGGCACTGTGGGGGACACAGGGCTCCTTCCTCCCCTGGGGCACTGATGCAGCAGTGGCTTGTGGGGGCTGCCGGGAGCTGTGGCAGAGGCTGAGTGGGCCATCACCTCGCAGTGCCGTCGGTACAGCAGCTGTAGGGCCTTGACATCGTGTGCAGTGACCCCCTCCTGCAGCAGCACACTGCCCAGGTCAGGGGCCGGGAACTCTGGGAAGACGTGGGATACATCTGGAGAGGGACAAAAGCGTCATACATTTGGGCTCTAGGGGACACATGCAGATGTGTTGCTCAGGTATACGTGTGGGGACAGCGTGGCTGTGTTCCAGAGGTATCAATTAAGCAGACACAGGACCAGGGCTTGGTGGGCAGAACTTGGTCAGCATGCATGAGGCCCTGGGTTCCTCCCCAGCACCCCATAAACCACGTGTGGTGGTGCACACCTGACACCCAAGCACTGGGAGGTGGAGGCAGGAGGATCAGGTCAGGGTCGTTCTTGGTTACATAGCTAGTTGGAGGCCAGCCTGGACTACATGAGACTCTATCTCAAAATCAAACACAGAGGAACCCCCAAGTTGAGCTCTCAACAGACTTTGGGTACCCACAGACACATTCTTGTCACCATGGCAACCTCATCCTCTCTGACAGTAACTTTGTGCTTGCTCATTAGTCTGCATTAATTCATGCATCATTACTACATTTACTGCCAGCACACAATGACTGTTATAGAATCTTAAGGTTCATCTGGGACTTTCTATGTGCCTTCGCAGTGCCCAGCTCACCTATGTACTGCTGGTGGTGCTGGCCTTGTGCACCCATGGCCTGCTCCGGAGTGCTGTGAAGGTTGCTGTGGGAACTGTCCCCGAGGCTGTCTGACTTCTGGGCTGGCCGGTACCTGGGCAGGGGACACATGGGCCACCATGAGGCCCCAGCAACCCTCTGGGGTGGGCCCAGGGAGCTTGGGCCATAAAGGATTCAGTGTATATGTGTGTTTTATAATAAAAAATTTATGTGTATGAGTGTTTTACCTACATGTCTATAAGTACATATGCCTGCGTGTTGTCCGATGCCTGAGGAGGTCAGAAGAGGACGTGGGATTGCCCAGAACTCAAGTTAGGGATGGTTGTTATGCCATGTGGGTGTGGGGATCCGAACCTGGGTCATAAGCAAGAGTAGCTAGTACTGCTCTGAGCCAGCTCTCCAGCCCCAAACTATATTTGAAAGAATACAAATTAGTCTCCCTGCCCCCAGGGCTGGGAATTGAACCTACGGAGCAATTGCTCCAACACTGCAGTACAGTCCCAGCCCACAAAATATCCCTTCTAAGTATGCAGCTCAGCTGCATGAAGCCCATTCACATGGTTGTGCACTCATCAGTACCATATATCGCCAGAACTTTCCATCTTCCCAAACTCACCCACCCTCCTACTTCCCCTGTGGTTCTGAGGAACCTGCTGGGAATGGGACCCTAGAGGGTATGTTCTTCTGTGTTTGGCTGACCTCACTGAGCATTGTCCTCCAGGTCCCTCCATGGTAGTGCAGATGTCAGTTTGCCCTACGTTTTCCTGGCTGCATAGTACTCTAACAGTGGATGGCTACCTGTGCTTGGTCACTCATCAGTGGATGGTCACTTGAAATTCCTGTATAGCTTTCCATGTATTTCCATGATATTCCTCTCTCAAGAGGCAGCCAACCCTGGACACAGACCTTAGGTATTGCATGCCTGTGGGGATTTTGACATTCCATCTACCCTGGGCTAGATGGGAATGCCATGTAGTATAAAGTAAAAAGGGGGAACACACACAGAGGAGTCTCCCCAGCAGCTGTGCAGTGCAAAGGGCAGGTGCTGCTGCCCCAGGCATGTGAGCCAGTTGCCCAGAGCAGGGGACAGAGTCTCCTGGGAGAATGAAGAAGGTGTGGTGGGATGTGTGTGAGCCCTGGGCCAGCACGGGGTTATCCCTGTGACATGGGTGAAAGCTGCCTCAGTCTGCTGGTCCTGGAGAACATTGCAGAGTCACCCTCTGTGACTTGTAGGAAGGAGTCACAGGGATGTTGTAGAGCACAGAACATTCTAGAAAAATGCTAGTTTTTTTCCAGCCACTGATTTAAAAAATGCCAGTAGTAAGGGTCCTATTCCCTGGCTTCTTGAGTGATTTATAACATTAGCTTTCTTTCTCCTCCTCTTCCATACGCCAACTTTAAAATTTGAGATGGGGGCATGGCTGGGGGCATGGCTGAGGGATAGAGTGACAGCCTAGAATCCCCAAATGAGGGGCTGGGGGAGTGCCTCAGGGGTAGAAAACCCTGCCTAGCATGTGTGAGGTTCTGGGTTCCATCGTCATATTCAGTACCTTAGTAAAGGCACAAGACTTTAGTCCCAGCACGTGGGAGGTAGAGGCGGGTGGATCTCTGTGAGATCCAGGCCAGCCTGGTCTACACAGAAAGTTCCAGGCCAGCTGGGGCTACAGGGAGACCCTTCTACAGAAGTTGGACCTGTGGAGAATGCCCCCCCCACCCCAAGAATGAGTGTTTCTTGGGTCTGGGCAGGAGGAGAGGTCCGAGATGGAGCACAGAGAACTGTTAAGAGCTGTAAAGTCCTTTATCCGACACCAAACCAGCCTGAGATTTTGGGGTCCCTTGGTGCTCGCATCCAGCCTGTCACCCACCTGGGCTTTTGGTGTGTGGGCTGCTGCCTCATGGCCATATACTGTGTGTCCTCCTGCAGTCGGTTCAGAGGGGAGTCCGGCTTCAGGCGGATCCCATAATAATGGTACTTTGAGTTGCCCCTGGAAACCAAACAAAATGGGTCAGCACCAGTTGGGGACACTGTCCTTGGTGTTGACTACTATGGTTTGATCAGGGAGACACTCCACACACAGCAGTCTGTCACAGGAGGCCCTTCTTACTTTAGAGGCTCTGAGAAGGCCTCCAGAGAGAATAATGAGGCCTGCTGTGTCCAACCGCAGCTGGCCTAGTCATGATTACAACCGCCAATTCTTCCTCAATCTCCTTCAGATGTCTCATCTGAAGGATAACACACTTTTGTTTTGTTTTCTGAGACAGGATCTCATGTAGTGGCCCAGGATGACCTTGAACTCTGGATGTTCCTGCTAAGCACCCCGACACTTGACCAGCCCCTTTTGGAAAGTGGCAGACCTTGGGAGCCAGCGCCTATACTATTCAGGAGAAAGGATGGTTACAGGGCTTGGTTTGGTTAAGCAAATAAATTGGGGATCACGTTAGGAAGGTGCCACTAACTAATGCCCTCTTAGCTCACATGGGACTGGGACAAGCAGGAGGCTCTTTTTAGAACAGGGACAGGCTTCCCAGGCAGTGCTGGCTGTCCCCTGCCACTGTCCCCTACACCTCCCTTCCTGTACATCTTCCAGAAGGGAGCTCACAGGCACGGGGGACTGAGGGTCCCTGCTCTCCTGAACCTGCTGTCATTGCATTTTGGGGTAGCCAGCACCTACTTCTGGAGGTGCACAATGACTCCAACATAATTTTTGTTTGTCGTGACAGTGAGCAGACCAAGTCTGGCCATCCCAATGTGTCCACTGCAAGAGCAGGCTGCGGGACGGCTGGGCCACTGACTTAGACTAGGTGGCTTATTTTGGTTCTTCTTTTTTTCAAAGGGTGTATTGGGGTCACTGGTAGGTTTTCTGGGGTTTTTTTTTCTTTCTTTCTTTTTTGTCTTTTTGAAGCAGGGTCTCCCTGTAGCCCCAGCTGTTCTGGAACTTACTATGTACTACGGGCTTGCACCACCATACCAGGCTCTGTTTTCTTTTTTAGAAAACATTTGATTTAGGCTGGGTGTGGTGGTGAACGCCCTTAATCCCAGAACTCAGGAGGCAGAGGCAGATGAATCTCTAAGAGTTCGAGACAAGCCTGGTCTACATAGCCAGGACATTTCCAGGCCAGTTGGAGCTACAGGGAGATCCTGTTTCAAAAAGACAAAAAACAAACAAAAAACATTTGATTTATTATTTTTACTTTATGTGTGTGAGTGTATTGCCTGCATTGTATGTAAGTGCACTTGTGTTGTGCTGTGCCTGTGGAGGTCAGAAGAGGGCATTGGATTCCCTGGAACTAGAGTTATAGATGGTTGTTAGCCACCATGTGGGTACTGGGAACTTAACCCAGGTCCTTTGCAAAAGCAGCCAGTGCTCCCCTATAGGTAGTGAGGAACTGGCTCTATATTTGAGACAGGGTCTCCTTGTAGCTCCAGCTGCCTGGAACTCCCTATGTAAACCAGCCTGGCCTCCATCTCTTAGAGCTGTTCTGCCTCCCAAGTACTGGGATTAAGGTTGTGTGCCACCACGCCTGGCTCCAGGTCACAGCGAGAGTGAACCTAAGACATGTGGTGCCCCTGGGACAAGTGGAAGGGCCTGTGTGGCGCAAAACACACCAAGAAAGAGTAAATATTGGGATGGGAGATGTAGTTCAGTGGGAAAAACGCTTGTAGCTCATAGAGTAGAGTACTTGCCTAGCATGAACAAGGCATTGGGTTCATCCCTAGCACCACATAAACTGGGCTTGGTAGCACATGCCTGTCATCCCAGCAATCAGGAGGTGAAGGCAGGAGTTCAAGGACAACCTGGCCTACACATTGGAGTTTGAGGCCAATCTGGGCTACATGAGACCATCTCTAAGAAATAAAACTTAAAAAAATACCTTGCACCTCTGGGAAATTTCAAAAGGAGAGAAAGTAAGACTGAACCCTACCCAAAGTGCTGGTCCTGGTTCACTTGGAGCAGTTTCAGGTTCATGCAGGATGGGGGTGTGTGAGCAGTTTCAGGTTCATACAGGATGGGAGGGGCGGGGGGACTGGCATCCTGAGCCTGTGGCCTTTGGGATCTGGGGAGTTTGGTTTCTGGTACAAGAAGAGGGGAGAGGGGAGCAGTGTTGTCATCAGATGCCAGGGACCATGGCTGCTGTCACCTACCTGGTTCCCAGGCGCCGAGTCCTCAGGCCCATGAACACTGAGCGGATGAGCTTGCCGAAGGATGCGGCATTGACCGGCTCCAGCTTGTGCTCCTGGCAGTGGCGCAGGTAATGGTTGTACAGGGAGCTGCGGGGCAGGCTCACGCCCTCTGCTGTCTCATAATTATCCAGGAGCCACTGCAGCTGTGGGAGAGATGGGAGAATCAGAGGCCTAGTGGCCCTCACTCCTGTTCCCTGAGCTCTTATGCCATCGATTCTGTACAGCCATCATCCACCCACCCACCCATCCACCCACCCACCCATCTATCCATACACTCACCTACCCACCCACTCATCTGTCCACCAATCCATGTATTCATCCATCCATCCACTGCCATCCACCTATCCATGCATCCACCCACTGCATCCATCGAGGCCCTGGGTTCCCCGACTTTTCTTATGAACCCTTGTCATGAACACACGAGATTCCCTTGGCTGGGTGGCAGCAGCACATAGCACCCTGTGCATGGTAACACTGTCTCCTAAACCCACAGGATAGAGACAGACTGTGGTGTAGACACATGGGAAGATGGACGAAGTGCCATGTGCTCTGGGCCACAGTGACCATGAACAGTCAGACTGGTATCCTGCCACCTTCACTGTGAGGACAACCAGAGGTCCAGGGTGCACTCCCCAAGACTGGTGTTCATCAAAAGCGGGTGCTGAGGCTGAGGCCATTGGCTTAGTGAGGATGCCAAGGAACTGTCCCTTTGAATGACTGATCCACACTGTAGGTGTTGACACCCTCTGTTCCGTCCTGAGAGGCCACACAAGGGGTAACCTGATGTGATGGCTGCCAGGTGACTAGGTAGGAGTTGGGGCTTCACTGGCAAGAAAGAGGCTGAGTCCCTGTGGGGATCCTGAGAGCTCCTGCTGCCTGGACCCTTCCGAGGCACAACTGGCTGACCAGCCCATCCCACCCAGCCCCTTGGCCCATGCCAGAGCATCTTCCAGGATGCAGAGCAGGCAGCATCTCCCTGGGGGATCTCTGACCACCATCACCACCATCACACCCTGCTGACTGAGGCTGAGTCTCCTCCCAGGCCACCCAGGGACGGGCTTTGGTGTGTCTGCTCCATGTGCCTCTGACAGGTGATAGGACACAGAGGGGGCAGGTCAGGAGTCTGGGCAAAGGGGGCAGCTTTTGGGACAAAGCAGGGGCACCACAACACAAACGAATGTCACCTGGGCTCAGTGGGAAGAAGGCCGTGTGCCAGGCTGGACTTGGGGGAAGATGGGCATGGCAGGGCAGGGGTTTGGCAAAGGCCCGAGGGTTCTTCCTGGGCAAAGCAGAACTAACTTTAAGGGACTGAATAGGAGTTTACCTGATTCATTTTACGATAAGCCGGCTCATCCCTGTATATGTAGGGACCTGGGGATCCCTGAGTTTTGAGTGTGGGTCATTTGGCTAGCAATCTCCCGAAGTTAGCTCCGAACTGTTCACTCAAGAGTCCTTCCTGGCCCACGGTATCAGCTCCTCAGCTAAACCTGTGCCTACATAGCAGCTGTCCATGTCATCTGTCCAGTGTGGGTGCTATGTGCTACACGGGCCCCCACCCTAAGGAGTACGGTCCCTTGTCCCAGTCCCCACGAATGAGGAGAATAAGTAACCAAGGAAGTGGGGTGTGGTGGTACCGCCTGGATCCCAGCATTCAGGAGGTGGAGGTGGGAGAATCTGCTACTGAGCCAGACTGTATCCAAACTCCAGAATTCATTCATTAAAACAAAGAGACAAGGCCGGGCGTTGTGGCACATGCCTTTAATTCCAGCACTTAGGAAGCAGAGGCAGGCACATCACTGAGTTCTGAGCCAGCCTGGGCTACACAGTGAGACTGTCTCAAAAGAAAAAACGAGACAGGAAAGAGACGGGGAGTTGGAGAGGGGGTAGCAGGGCAGTTAACATGTGGAGGCTGAAACTCTGAGGGAGACAAGAAGGCCTCCCTCTGGTAGGGGACAGAGTCAGGGCTTTAATTACACCCCACTGCAGGACCCTCCCCCACTTTCTGACACACTTGGGGTCAACAATCCCTTCTCATTGCTTGCTCTGGAACTCAGACCCTTCAGAACACTAAAGACTGAGGCTGAGTGCCAAGGTTAGCCCATTGCTTAGCCTCAGGCTATCTCTGCTCCTCTGGGAGCTCCATTCTATCTGGGACCATGCCTGGGCTTGGGCCAACCCCAGGTCCTTTCCCTGGGGAGTCCGAAGCTGAGGATCCAGTGAGAACTGGGCTCACATTCTCAGGCCTCTGGGACCCTCAGGCTCCTCTTGCAGCTCTTTCTTCATATGGAATTGTCACCTGCACTTAGGTCTCTGCTGCCTGTGTCCGCCTCACAGTTCTGTGGGCTGGGGCCATTTCTGTTGGTGGCGTAAGACCTTGGCGCAACACTTCAGGATGAAAGGTTGAGAGCGAGGGGTTCCTGGGCAGAAAGGACACTGCCCAAGGGGCCAGTAGGGAGGCTCTGGGTACGAAGGCTGGGGAACCTATCACAGGAGTCAGCCAAGGTACATCTTGGGCCATCTTGTCAGGGGTCTACTATGGGCAGCTGAGCCACAACCCAGAGACATGGGGTCTGAGGCCCAAACACTGGTCAGACAGGACTAGCTCCTAGGAAAAAGAAATTCTGGAAACAAAGTTCACTTTGAATCCAGCCATGTTTATACCCCAAGTTGGCTTCTCTGGGGAGGTCGGGGTGCATGCTCACGTGGGAAGGGTGTGAGGTATGTGGATGTGTTCTTGCTGGGCAGAAGGGGGCCAGAGGGAACGGATACCACTTGCCATGTCCAAAAAATATTGGTGACAGCGTTTGTGTCTGTCCCCTGGCTTGGGCATCCTGTGTCAGGAAGGTCAAGTTCTCAGTTCCTGTGGCTCCATGGCTGGTCATTCTGGGTCTAGACTTCCTTCCCTTCCCTTGTTTGTGTGTATGGTTTTCATTTGTTTTCTGACACGGTTTCCCTGTAGCTCCAGCTGATCTGGAACTCTCTATGTAGCCCAGGCTGGCCTCAGTCTCACAGAGATCCACCTGCTGCTGCCTCCTGGATGCTGGGATTAAAGGCATGCCTTTTGCGTGTGTGTGCTTGAGACAGTTTTCCTATGTAGCCCAGGCTTCCCATGATCCTCCTTCCTCAGCCTCCTGGGTGCTGAGATCACCTGTTTGAGACTGGCTTGACATGGGCCATTTCTAAGAGTAGGGCGGGGTGTGGTGGCACTCACCTTTAATCCAAGTACTCATGAGGCAGAGGAAGGTGGATCCCTGTGAAGTTGAGGCAGGCTTGGGCTATACACTGAGTTCCAGGCCATCTGGGGCTACAGGACAGAGAGACTCTCTTACCACATTTGTTGTCGGTCAGCACCCCTGTATTTGTCACCAAAAAGCTCACATGCTTCCCTTTAAGGAAAGGAACCCCGAACCCAGGCCCCCCAAGGTTCTGAGGTCTCTGGTGGGGGGCACAATCCCTGTGCCCCAACTTCAAGATGGATTCAAGAGCTGGAGCTCTGTGGGCAGAGCTCACCTAGTGTGCAGGAGGCCCTGGGTTCATCCTCAGCACCACAGAAACAGGGTTTGGTGGCCCATGCCTGTCATCCCAGTACTTGGGAGTTAGAGGCAGGAGGATCAGGAGTTCAGTAGCCTGGGCTATTTTAGGAAGTTGGGGGTCAGCCTGGGCTACATGTGACCTTGTCTCAAGAAACTAAACCAAAAACAAAATAGACGGGCCTCAAGTCCAAGTTGGTGCCTGCCTCATCACCCCATCTTCTAAGCCAGTTCCTATAGCTATAAGTTACTTAGCAACGGGATGCATTTTGGGAGACAGACCTGTAGCATCGTTTCCTGCTTGTGGCCACAGCATGGTGCTTCAGGCCAAGGCTACATGGTAGATGCTGTCCTCTGTGGGACTGTCCTCTGTCAACCCCAGCACTACTGTGTGACTCATGGCTGTATTTGGGGCCCTCTGCCCTTGGCTCCCCCAATCAGCAGGCAGCACATTGGATTCTGGAGGTGCCCTGTGCCGGCTGCTGGCATCTTGCAGTGAGCTATAACAGAACTTGGGATGCCCTCCTTGAAATCCACCCAACAAATATGCTAGGTGCTGGAGCAGCCATCTCAACTGAAACAGACTGAGGTCTGTGCCTTCTGAAACTGACTATCTTAGGGGAGGGACACAGAGCAGAAGGGAAACCAGAAGTGCAGCTGTTGCTGAGGAGACCCATTCCAGCGAGGGGGCAGCAGGAAGGAGATGAGTAATTTATTATTCCAGTGTTGGGGACAGAACCCAGGGCCTTGTGTTTGTGAAGCATGAGCTCTACTACTAAGCTATACCCCAAGAGATATGATTTTAAATTGGTATGAAGTAGGTGGAGAGAGTCTAGTGGAAGCCACAGGGAACTGCATTCCGGGCAGAGGACATAGCCTACGCAAAGGCCCCGGAGCTGTGGACACAGCCGTGCAAAGGTCTTGGGGCAGAGGGCTCAGTTGTGCAAAGGCCAAGGTCCTGGGGTAGAGGATGCAGCTGGTCAAAGGCCATGGGGCAGGATGGAGCCTGGCATGTTGAGGAGGTCCTCGTGGCTGGAGCAGAGGGAGTGAGAGGCAGAGAGGCAGGAAGGGCAGAATGAGCAGGGCCTTGTGGGTTGCAGGGTAGACTTGGGCTTTGATATCAAGAAAGGTGGGAGGTAAAGGCGCTTCTGAGCTGTGATGTCCCTCAACTGTAGGTAGAACCTTGGTGACTGCTGTAAGGAAGGACTGGTAGCTGGGCAAGGCTGGCTGGGGTAGGGTGTGTAGATAATCCAGACAGAGGTGATGAGGGGAGGAGTTGGAGGTGTGTCCTGATTCTAGACTTTTCTGCAGGTGGACTTGGGAGGAAGAGGCAGGAGGGAGGAGGCTGGCTAAGGGCCTGAGCCCTGGGAAGATGGAGTTAAGACAGGACATGGGGAGGCTCAGTGTTGCTGCGTAGGGAAGTCAAGACTAGTTCTGGAAGTGTTGAGATGCCAGCTCACACAGGTGGAGCAGAAGAGCAGGGCTGGCTAGAAGGTTCAGCAGGTAAAGGAGCTTGTCGCCAAGCCTAATGACCCAAGATTTATACCTAGGACTCAAACGGTGGCAGTGAGGTGCTACTGACAGGTGGAGGATTTTCTCAGAGATGGGGTTGGCTGGGAGGGCTTTGGGTGATGGACGGGACCTTAAAGAACACCTCCAAACTGCTTCCTCCTCCCTCTGGCACTTGGCTGTGAGGTGTGTGGCCTCATCTGCCACTCACTGCTGCCCCCATATCCTGTGTAGCCCTGGGCCAACTGGTCAGAGGCTGAAATCTCTGAATCTGTGAGCAGAGCTAAACCTTTCTTCTCTCTTAAGTGGATCCTCCTCAGGAGTTTGTTATAGTAGGGGACAGGCACACCTTTCATGTACTGCTGGATTCTTTCTGCATCTCAGTTTAAAAACAAAATGTCACACCCTTCTAATTTAGTTCTTCTGAGGCATTCCTTCTGGCCCCCGGGTGAGGAAGGACTGAGGTGCACTTTATAGACAGCTGGGGTGACAGGTGGGCCTGAGGGGCTCCCAGTGTCAGGTAAAGTGCAGAGGTGAAGCCTCAGGAGGCACCTTGACTGGTGTGGTTGCCATAGTGACAGGCATGGGTGAAGGTGTGTTTCCTTCCCTCCATGGAATGTTCTTGAAGCTGGCCTCTGCTCTCTGGGGTTTCCACCCCAAACTGACCATAGAGATGGGGCTGAGGTTCCTGGCTGACAGCGGGGACACACATGGCCTGGTACTGGTGGCCCCTCTGGAGTGACCAGGGCACCTCAAAGAGGCCACCAGAAGCTTGGGTTGCTGGACATGGCACCTCAGACTCCTCAGCCTCTAGTTGGAAGGGCCAAGAGCTGGGGCTGAGTCTGTGATGCCCCTGCCTTCCAGAAGGTTCCAGCCCACCAGCGCTCTCTCTGCTCCAGGGACATTGGGAGAGGGTGGGCAGCCAGTGGAGGACGTGTGGTCATCAGGTCGTCTCCGCTGTCCTCTTCTTCCCACCTCACCCACTGGTCAGCCGCATGCTGTGCTACCTCGTTCCAGTGGGACAGAACATTCTGTTTGGGGATGTGAGTGTGGAGGAAGCAGCCCAGAGTCTGTCCTCTGTGCCCGTGTTAGAAAGCAAGCCTCCCCGCAGCTGTGACAAGCAACGCATGCGGTCTCCACAGATGTGCAGTGTTCTAGGGACACAGGAAGCTGGGGATGTCCCCATGAGCCTCCCTCTGAGGGATGCTGTGCTTACACATCAGCCTTTGGCCACAGCCTGCCGCTGGCCGAGAGGGGACCGCTGTTCCAGGTCTCTCCCTCGGTGACCGGGTACAGGGCGCAGGACAGTAGGGTGTGGGGGGACTTTTCTTAGCACACACCAAAGACCCTTTCCTCAGGGTCTGTTCCCAGGGTGGATACTGTCTAGCAGTGGAGGATGCTGGGACAGATACGTCTCATTCATCCTAGAAGGGGGCCCTGAGCTTAGAGCCCTGGGTGGAAGGATATGTCCGGCCACCAATTCCCAGGCCACTCACCAAATGACTCCTGGGGGAGCCAGTCACATCTCCACCCAACCTTGTAACCTCTAGAGGCTTCTAGGCCTTTCTCTAGATGGGCTTTGGACCTGCTTAGAATCACAGCCTTCCTCTAACATCCCATGTTGAACTTGGACCAGCAAGAAGGTCTGGGGAGGCCACAGGGTCACAGAGGGCAGAGGGACTTCTTGTTTCTTTGATATTGAAATTCTCGGGAAAATGCCATGCTTGGTGGCCAGCTCATTCGGGCTTGGGGGGCAGGTCCTAGCTTTCAAAGGCCTGACATAGTGGGCGTGGTGGCACACACCTGTCTTCCCAGTTTGGGAAGGGACCCTGGGCAGGAGGATTGCAAGTTTGAAGCCAGACTCAAACATACTGCAGGCCAGCCTGGGCTACACGAAACTGTCTCAGTCAACAAACAAGAATATGTCATTTAAGTGCCAAACATAGGCATGGCAGCACAGATTTGAGATCCCAGCATTTGGGAGGCTGAGGTAGGAAGATCTGGAGTTTGGGGCCAGCCTGGGCTACATAGTGAGGCCCTGTCTCAAAGTAAGTAACTGAATAATAAGACACGAACTGACCAAAGCTGGGTGGGTGGTGTCTGGAGATGTGAGGGAAAAGGGGCGAGTTGCACGGGACAGAACTGTGCTTCTCCGCTGTCCCCAGAGCCGAACACTAAGCCAGGACCTTCTCCAGGCTCAGCCTCACCCCATGCCTGGAACAGGATGCTCACTGCTTGCTGGGTGGGACCCAGTCACCATCTTCCCCAACAGGTAGAAATGGGGGCAAAAACAAGGAGCTGGGGCTGCTGGGCCCCTCTCATATGACCACACTGTCAAGGACAGAGTCCTGAAGCACAGCTGGGGGACCCATGGCCCCTGCCCCAAGTCCTTTCTCCCTTTCTTATAGAAAATCTTATATTTGTTTCACTTTTGTATGTATTTATTATTTTTATTATTGAGATAAAGTCCCACATAACCCAGTCTAGCCTGAAACTCACTAGATAGACCAGGCTGGCCTCGATCTCACAGAGATCCGCCTGTCTCTGCTTCCTGAGTGCTGGGATTAAAGGTGTGTTCCACCACACCTGGCCTTGCTCTCCCTTTTAACATTTAGGGTTTCTTTTCTGCCATGTTCCCTGACTTTTCAAACATCTATGAGGCTCTGGGGGGAGCAGGGTGGACTGGGTCCCCCCCACACTTACATGGCTGTTGAGCAAGCCGCCTTTGTGGGGGGCCAGGCCTTCGCTGTTTTGGAGGTTCTCAATCGCCATTTCAAGCTATGAAGATGTGTGCGGAGACAGGACAGGACAAAATGAAAACATTGGGAGCAGGGGAGAGAGGGAAACGAGATGGTTAGCAGCAGCTGGGGACGCCCTCATACTAACATCCAAATAATGATGCCAGAGCCCGAGGTGGTAGCAAGGTGTGGCGGGAGGGTTAATGGTCAGTGAAGCCGCAGCGGGGAGTGAGGATGGTGACACACAGCAGAGCCCAAAGTCCAGGACACCAGCAGCAGGGGAAGCCGGGAGGCAGCTCACCAAATCCTGATGTAAGCAAACAGCATGTGCACCGCGTGTGGACATGTACAGTCGGAGCTCAACAGCATGTGTCTTCCTCAGCTGCTCTCCATCTTAATAGTTCTAATTTTTTTATGTGTCGGAGTGTTTTGCCTGCATGTATGTAAGTACACCACATGTGTAAAATGCCCACAGAGGCCAGAAGAAGGCGCTGGATCCCCTGGAACTGGGGTTAGGGATGGTTGTTAGCTGCCATGTGTGTGCTGGGAAGAGAACCTGTGTCCTCTGCAAGAGCAGCCAGGGCTTTTAATTACTGAGCCATCGCTCCAGCCCTTTTGTTGTTTTTTGAGACAGGGTCTCTATGTAGCCCCAGCTGGCCTGGAACTATGTAGATCAGGCTGGCATAGATCTCACAGAGATCTACCTGCCTCTGTCTCCTGAGTGCTGGGATCAAAATCATGTGGCACCACATCTAGCTGTAAATTATCTTTTAATTTTAACATTTAAAAATATTTTCCAGGGCTGGAGAGATGGCTCAGTGGTTAAGAGCACTGACTGCACTTGCAGAGGACCTGGGTTCGATTCCCAGCACCAACATGGAGGCTACGAACCGTCCTTAACTCCAGTTCCAGGGGAATCTGAAGCCCTCTTCTGACCTCCGTGGCATTGCACAACATGGGTGCACTCACATACATTCAGGCAATACACTCATACACATAAAATAAAAATAACAACTAAAATATTTTTAAAAAATTGTCCATGCAGCCAGGCATGGTGGTGCATGCCTTTAGTCCCAGCACTTGGGAAGCAGAGGCAGGTGGATCTCTGTGAGTTCAAGGCCAGCCTGGTCTACATAGCGAGTTCCAGGCCAGCTGGGGCTACAGGGAGACCCTATCTCAAAATGACCAAATAATAATAATATATATATATTTCCATTATTATTTACGTGTATGTGTATGTATATGTGCACCTGATCGAACTGGGTACTGAGAATCAAACTCGGGTCCTCAGAAGAACAGCCGGTACTCTTAGCTGCTGAGCCAGTTCTCCAGCCCCATCTTCACCTTATTTTTTCGGATAGGTCCCTTAGTGAAGCTGGAGCTCGCTAACTGGCTAGGCTGGCTGGGCAGTGAGCCCTAAGGATCCTCCTGTCCCTGCCTCACTGTGCTGAAGCTCCAAGTTCGCATCACCATGCCTGGCTTTTTCTGTGGGTTCTGGGGCTCGAACTCAGGTCTTTGCGCTTGCACAGAAGACACTTTGCCCACTGAGCTATCTCCTGGCCCAAATTTCTTTTTCTTTCTTTCTTTCTTTCTTTTTTTTTTTGAGGCAGCATCTCCCTGTAGCTCCAGCTGGCCTGGAAGTCACTATGTAGACCAGGCTGGCCTTGAACTGACAGAGATCCGCCTGCCTCTGCCTCTCCCGCGTGCTGGGAATAAAGGTGTGTGCTACCACGCCCGACCCCAAATTTCATTTTTAAGAGCTAATTTATCAAATGGGTCATGGTGGTACGCACCTGTCATCCTGGTAAACAACAGACCTGAGTCCAAAACCAAAGCCCACAGGCAAACAATGAAATCTATCAACGTCTGCCACAGAGTTTACGACGGGAAAATGAAATCTATGAAAAATTAATTCATCATAGGGTTTTTTTATGCAGGGTCTCCTTGTAGCCCCAGCTGACTTGGAACTCGATATGTAGACCAGGCTGGCTTTGATCTCACAGAGATCACCCCACTGTAGTTTATCAAATATATAACTATAATGCAATACATAGCTGGCATGCATTTACAACATATAAATGATATAGTTATCTATCTTTTCCAGTTACCAAACAGCACATTTTGAGGGATCTTGCTCATCTCTGGCTTGAAGAAGGTGCTGAGGCTGGCATCTGTACCCGTGCCCATTACTGTGTTTTATTTGGACCACATGGAAAAACCTGGCCTCGCACAGACACAGCTGCACAGTGCCCATGTCCTCAGATGCCTCTCCTACCGTGAGTCATTTTATCCAAACTTGAGGACTGGTAGATCCTTAAAAATTTAGTTGCAATGCAGAATCTTGAAACCAGATCAGTGAGATTTCCATACACTGCCCTCCTCTGTTGATGTTAAAATATGTACCAGACTGGGCTGGCTCAGTGGTGAAGAGCACCCACATGGTGGTTAACAACCATCTGTAACTCCAGTTCCAGGGAATCCGACACCCTTTTCTGACATGAGTGCACTTACACATATGCAGGCAAACACTCATACACATAAAATAAAATGGAGCAAGAGCAGGGTTGGGCACCATACATCTCTACTACAGAGAACTAGTGAGCAGGGGGCAGAACGTGAGCCATATTGCTCTGAGCTCCTAGGACAGATAAAGAGCATAAGTAACAAGGGTGGACCCTGCATCGAACACCAGCTACGGCCAGCAACAACCATCGACAGCGACCACAAACTTGGTATCGAGATGTTCTGTCAAACTGCTTGCTGCACACCCCACTAACCAAACACAGGCACAGTGGTCCCCACAACAGATTACAGATTTTCACTGCAGAGCCAGAAAAGTCACCAAACAGATGACTATGCAGTTAACTGTCATGACAAATCCAGGGAGGGAGGACGGATGGACATGGCAATGCTGAAGAGTTTCCACAGACAACAATGAGACACTCAGTACCTTAGGAAGTGAAGTTCATACACAGAGAAGTCAACAGAAATGCCCGACGAGGTCCAGGCCACTCCACTGGACTCATGAGCCAGACAGTTAGTCAAATACTGAAATATGCCCAAGGAATGACAGGAGTCATGTACAAACGGAAGGGACCACTACCGGGGTAGCTTCCCTTCAAAGGAGGCCAGTGATGGAGTAGGAACAGTGAAAGAGGCAGCGGAAATTCTGGAATTTGGGGCTAGAGAGCTGGCTCAGAGGTCACAGCACTGGCTGGTCTCATAGAGGACCCGGGCTTGGTCCCAGCACCCACATGGCAGCTGACAACTGTCTGAAACTCCAGTTCCAGGGGATCCAACACCCTCTTCTGGCCTCTGTGGGAGCTGCACACATTTCGTGCACTTACCTACGCACAGGCAATCACTCAATGCACACAAAACGAAAGTAAATAATAACATCAATAAAGAGCTTCTAGAAGTGGAGGTACACAGAAGCCACAACACTGAAAACCTCCAGAGTTTTGATGAAAGACACAAACCCCTATGTTCAAAAATCTCTAAGCTCATGTAGATAAACTCAAAGATGTCTACATAGGTAACATTTCTTTTTCTTCATCTGTATGTGTGGAGTGTGCACGCACGTGTGTAAATTGTGCATGTGTCAACATGTGTACAACATGAATATGTGTTCACGTGTGTGTGTGTGTGTGTGTGTGTGTGTGTGTGTGTAGGCCCAAGGTTGATGTTAGGACTCTCATTCAGTCACTCCCCACCTTATTCTTTGATTCAGGGTCTCTCAGTCAACCCAGAGCTCACTGATATGGCCAATCTCCTGACATCAGCTTGCTCTGGGGTCCCCTGCCTCCACCTTCTGAAGCTGGACTTACCATGGGAGGTGCCACTCCAACCTGGCATTTACCTGGGTTCTGGGGATCTGAACTCAGGACCTCATGCTCATTCACTAAGCACTTTAACCACTGCGCCATCTCTCCAGTCCTCCAAATTTAAATAACTTTACAGAGAAAGCAAAGACACAGCAGACACAGGGAGGAAGTGTCTGAAAACCACATATCTGATGTAGGATCTGTGTATGTCTGGGACATAAAGGATTCTCCACACTCAACAGCCAGGAACCAACAGCCTGCTTAAACAATAAGCAAGTGTGTGAAGTAAAGACAAAATAGTGTGCGAACATCTGTCTATCACCCTCAGCTAGGAAACTACAACCACAGAGAGGCTCCCAGACACACTTCCTGGGATGAACAAAATAGAAAATGTTAACAAGTCCAAGTGTTGGCAAGGAAGCAGAGCAATGGTAAATCTCAGGCATGGCAGGGTGGCTTAACCCACAGGTATAGGGAAGCTACCAGGTGTCTGCAGATAAAGTTGAGCACACTTACTGTGGGAGCTGGGACTTCTACTTGGAGCCATTTACCCCAAGAAAGGAAATTTGCACACTCACTACCCAGAGCTGCTTCCTTGAGGATGGCCCCAAGCTGGAAGCCTTCCAAGTGGCCCTTGGCTGGGCACAGGATGCTTCTCTGTGATGAAAACAGCCCACGTGGGTTCACACCACCACCCACCTGAAGGGTACTCAAAGGCCTCAGTGAAGTGTAAGAACCCAGCCTGGGAAATGTCCAACCACAAGGAGGGAAAAGACCCAAAGCTGCTGGGTTGTGGGTGAGGAATACTGCGAGGGATTTCTGTGGGAAAGGGGCTGCCATGGGAATCCTGAGGGTGAGCATTGACAGGAACAACACATGTCAAATCCCACAGGGCTGTGCACCAAAGACTATGTGTTAATTTAAAAAAAGATTTGACTGGACATGATGATGCACACCTTTAATCCCAGCACGCAGGAGGCAGAGGCAGGAGGATTGCAAGTTTGAGGTCGGTCTGTGATATGTGGGAAGTTCCTGGCCAGACTAGGCTACCCAGTGAGACTTTGTTTCAACTCCCCCCTCCCTGCAAAGCCCCCCAAACCCCAAAAGTAGGGCTGTATTTAAGGCAGGGGAGCAGCAGTTTCTCTGAGGAGCCTGTGTCCTCTGGGGGGTGCAACGTCCTGTTGGAGGGCAGGCAGTCTATGATGGACCAACCCATACCCCCCTTCCCCAGAGATTGACTGTCAAGGTAGAAGCAGTCCACCAGCAGCTGGTGACAGTCCAGACCACCTGGCTGGCTCCTGGCTACTCACGGTGCCCACAGTGGTCTAGCAGGGTTACCCTCTGGCTACAGGGCCTTTGTACATACCGTGGCAGGGGAGGAGCGGGCAGTGTGGGCCAGGGAGTGTCTCGTTCCATCCATGCCCCCGTGGATGAGGTAGGCTCCCGTGCCAGACATGATGGGGGTCCCCGAGACATCCATACTGATGCCCACCATGCCGTGGGAGGGGACTGCTGGGGGGGACGAGGCTGCCACTGTGACCTGAGCACCAGCTGGGGTCTCGAAGTAAGAGGCTGCGCTGCTGGGGGCGTAGAGCTGGGGATCCGGGTTGTAGGCGTAGGCTGCTCGGCTGGGGAGGGGGATTATTATGTATAATTAGTATATACTAATAAAAGAGGAAAGAGAAACAAAGAAAGAAAGTGAAGGGGCCGGAGAGCCGGCTCAGCAGCTAAGAGCACCAGCTGCTCTTGCAGAGGACCTGGGTTTGGTTCCCAGCACCCACATGGCAGCTAACAACCATCTGAAATTTCAGTTCCAGGATGCCCTCTTCTGGCCTCCATGGTCCTGCACGCGCGCACACACACACACACACACACACACGCACACACATACACACACACACACACACACACGAATAAAAAGAAAGCGCAAGCAGGCAAGGGAGTACGGGAGTCGGGATGATGGCTCTGTGGGTAAAGCTCCTGCTAGGCAAGCTTGAGGAGCCATCCCTGTGGTCCTCCAGCAAGATGAGAGGTGAGGACAGGAGAAGAATGAGAGACCTTGTCACAAACAAGGTAGAGGTCGAGAGATGGCACCCAAGCTTTTCCTCTGGCCTCCACACACATGCTGTGATGCACACATACCTGCATTCATACACGTATGCATGTACACACACACATAGACACACGAAAGAGAGAGAAGGAAGGAAGGAAGGGAGGAAGGGAGGGAAGGAGGGAGGGAGGGAGGAAGAGCAATTTTTATAAAGTTCTAGAAGAATTAGAAAGTGGAAAATGAGTTTTATCAACATCTCAGGAAGTTTAACACAGGTGAGGCTGAACAGGCCTGGAGGGGACTGTTTTCTAGCCTGTTCCCCTTCAGCATTAGAGGGAGGGCTAAGTGTTTGGTCTGTTTTAAATGCAGACTTTTCTAGAAGCTGAAAGCTCAAAGGCCTGTGGTTCTGAACTCTGGACAGGGCTGTGACATCCTGACTGCAGGATAGGGACTTGGGGACCCACACAGGGTCCAGGGAAGGAGGGAGGGAGGGGAGTGGGAAGCCCAGGGGTCCCCAAAGTTCCCACAGGGAACACCTACATGGCTCCGTTGGCGTAGACAGCATCCCCGCCATCCACATATTGCACCTGCGCGGGGTACACGTGCTGCACCTGCAACAACACGTGAGTACAGGTCACAAGGGGTCATGTGATGGCTTCTTTTTTCTAGATAACATCACCGAAGACAACTTCAACTGAACTTTATGTACCCCAACACCATGCTGCCTCCCCAACCCAGCAGCAGCCCTTCTAGAGACTCCAGGAGAGACCACCATAAGGGTAGTGGGGTCCCACGGCCCCTAAGGGTCCTGATAGAACAGACAGGGTTTCACTATATAGACCAGGCTGGATTTGAACTCACAGAGATCTGCCTGCTTCTGTCTTCCAAATGCTAGAATCAAAGATGTGCCCTACCACTAGTGGCCAGGACTACATCTGTTCATCTAGTGATCAACAATTATCTATCTTTGAGGCAGTGTGTAATTTAGCCCAGGCTGGTCCTGAACTCTCTGTGTAGCCCAGGATGACCCTGAACTCCTGATCCTCCTGCCTCTACCTCCTGAGTCCTGGGATGACTGGCATGTGCCACTCTGTCTGGTTTTATGTGACACCAGGGATGGAGCCCAGGGCTTCATACTAGAGATGCTGTGAGGGCTGTACCCCTTGTCTGTAGCCATAGAGTGCAGGACTCAGGGGACTGTGGCTCCCATCCAGAAAAACTAGATGTCCTGGGTATGGCAGAGATGTTGGCAACCGCAGGCAGGCTGTGGGTGACCCTGGTGCCCTGTCCCAGCAGTGGTAGGAACAGAGTTGGCCACATAAAGGATCCTGGAGAGGGAGTGATGGGAGTCCCCTACACGCTCCAAGGGCCCGTCCCCTTCCACTGCCCACAAGTCAGCTCAGCCCCAGCTGATGCCCAAGTGATGGCGAACCAGGGCTTTGCAGCCCCATGTCATCCTCAGCAGGCTGGTGATGGCTATCTAGGGCCCCTAGGGGGAGCTATGTGGTCTGCACTGGTCCACCCACTGCTGGGATGCTCTGGGCTGTGCAGACTCCCTAAGGAGGAGAAACACAGCTGTGTCACCTGGGAAGTCTGACTGGCCCACACAGTGCTAGGGCCAGGCCAGGCTCCCGCCCTCAGAGTGGGGAAGCTTCTAGTAGCCTATGATGGTACTTGCGTTCCCCTCCTTCCACAGAGCTTCTGGCTGGGTCCCTGGGATCTCCAGAGCCTCTGTTTCAGTGAACCCCGTAAATCTTCCCCAGCTCTGTGACATGGTCACCTCACTGGTGTAGGCTGTAGCTCCCTCAGGAGAGAAGGACAGAGCCAGACCAAGGTCAAAGCCTGCCCTGTGCATGTTCGTAAAGTTTGATTGGCACCTGGTCCCTTTCTCACACATTACTATGGCTGCTTTGGCCTTTTCTACAGGCAAGCTGAGAATACTCTTCAGTCCTTACAATCCCCAGGGGTACTGAGGCGGCTGAGACTGTGCCACAGGGAGCAAAGAACTGCCACTTTTCATGGCTTGCTGCATGCATTAGTATTTGTGGTAAAAATGAATTTTTTTTGGCTAGGTATGGTGGTGCATGTCTTCAATCCCAGCGCTCAGAGACAGAGGCTAGCCTGGGTTACATGGGAGTTTCAGGCTAGCCTGGGCTACATAGTGAGACCCTACCTCGAAAAGCAGGGGGGGGGGGCTTCCTGAGTGACTGCAGATAAAAGGCAGGAGATTGCTCACGATCACATCCTTACCTGCTGTGGCACTGGCTGGACCCTGGGGAGGGTGAGTGGGTGCATCGGGGCACCTTTGGGTGTTGAGCCCGCTGCCTGGACCAGCACCCTCTGCAAGGGACAGAGGGAGGGGACAGTCAGAGCCATTGGAGATTGGTGCTAGGCAATCCTACAGCGAGGTGCGTCCCAGCCGATCCACTCCCACTGCTGAGATTGGGGTGGGATGGGCAGGCACAGGAAGGCATGTGATTCAGAGCTTCCATGGTCAGGATGCTCAGAGCCAGGGATGGGGGGCCGGGTCCTCCCCTGCCAGTCCCTGACCTCCAACCCCAGTCCTCACTGTCGTAAGTCACACCTCGGCTGTTTTGCATGGAGAAAGCTGGCCAGTGGGGCTGTGAAGACATGAGGGTCCAAGGGACCTTGGGACGGGAGGATGTGTGCTTGCTGAGGGCCTGGGGGGCCACGCTGCTTCCTGGGAGCCTGAGAGTGAGGACGCAGTGCTCTCTAGTGTTCAAGGAAGCCACTATGAGTCAAGCAAGGCTCTGATAAGGAACTAGGTCTGGTTACCTGAGCTACAACAAAATAAACACTACAAGGACAGAGACTACCACAGGGCCCCAACAGATAACTGGACATACGCCACAGGGGTCTAGCTCCACACTGGAATGCTACTCAGCCATGAAGAGGAGTGAGGATCTGGCTCACACCACAGCACACCTTAAGGACATCGGGCTTACTGAGACCCAGACACAAAAGGCCACATGGTATGTATCTCCAGAGCAGGGAAATCCAGAGACAGGAAAAGTTTTCATAGGTGTCAGGGTTGGGAAGGGGATGAGCTGCTACTCATGTGGAAGAGCCTTTGTGGGGGAGGTGTGATGGAACATTCTGGAACTAGATAGGTGGGAGAGTTGAAAACTGTGACTGTGATAAAAACCACTCTACACTCTTTATTGTAGATTGTGTCAATGCCACCTCAATTAAAAAGCAATCAAGGAAGCCATGGTGGTGCACGCCTTTAGTCCCAGCACTTGGGAGGCAGAGGTAGGTGGATCTCTGTGAGTTCAAGCCAGCCTGGTCTACGTAATGAGTTCCAGGCCAGCTGGGGCTACAGGGAGACCCTGTCTCAAAAAGAAAAAAACAAAAAAAAACAAACAAAAAAACAAGGGCCAGGTGAGCAGGTAAGTGGTGCCTGCTCTAATCCCAGCACTCAGGAGGCAGAGGCAGGCAGATCTCTGTGAGATTGAGGTCAGCCTGGGCTACATAGTGAGCTCCAGGCCAGCTGGGGCTACAGAGAGACCTTGCTTTAAAAAAAGCAAACCAAAATGAAACAAACAATAAAGTCATCGGAGGGGCTGGGGAGACGGCCCAGTGGGGACGAGCACTGCTGTGCAACAATGAGGACCTGGGTTCTAATCCCTGGCACCACATACGAAGCCGGGCATGACCAAATGTGCCTGGAACCCCAGTGCTGCAGGGACAGAGATCAGGGGGTGGTCTCTGCCGGCTGCCAGTCCAGCCCCAGATCTGAGGGAATAAGACAGAAGAGGACGCACAGCATGGTCCGTCTGGCAGTCACACACCACGCACAGGTTATGTGCACCCGGACACACGTGCATGCACGCTATACTCACACATATACGGTAAAGAGGTGGCACACACCTGTAACCCTAGAACTCAGGAGACTGAGGCAGGAGACTCACACATGACTTTGAGTCTAGCCTGAGCTATAGAGTGAAGACTCATTTCAAAAAACCAAAATAAAAAGGTGGGACTGGGTCTGTAGCTCAGCAGGAAGAGCTTGCCTAATGTGCCCTGGGCTCAGCCCCAGCACCACATAGACCAGGCATGGTGACATAGGCCTGTCATCCCAGCATTCAGGAGGTGGAGGCAGGAGGATCAGGAGTTCAGGGTCATCCTGGGCTACATAGGAAGTTTAAGGTCAGCCTGGGCTACAGGAGACTGCCTCAAAACAATAGCAAAAACAAACTAAACCCAAAACACATCAATGAAGATATCAAAGGTTAACCTAAGTATAACCCCATATTTGAGGTATGGGAGGCTGAGGCAGGAGGATTACTGCAAGTTCAAGGCTAGTCCTGGGCTATTTAGTAAGATCCTGTCACAAAGCAAAACAATCAAACAAACAAAAAACAAAGAACAGTCTGCTCAGGAACTAAAGCTGAGCAATCTCGTAGTGCCCTTTAAGAAGAAACTGGGGAAGATTGCAAAGTAAAACAGTGAAGCCATTTTTCATATTCTGTCTCAAAACAACCACAAGCGCGTGGGAGACCAGGGCTGTAACTCAGGGCTGAGGCCTTGCATAGCATGTGTTCATCCTCAGCACCTCAAGAGAACAAAGAAAAGACCCTGGAGTTGCCTCCTCTGAGACGCCTGGCCCTGTCTCCGAGGAACCAGGCTGCTTTTAGCTGAAGCATTTTCCTTGCTGAGTCTCTGAGAGATTGACCTTTCAGACTGTTCCACATGGCCTGTGTACTCCCTTCTGTCCCATGGTTTGTTTCAAGGTTGTGTCTACCTGGGTGTGGACAGCCAGATCCATCTGACAATTCTAAAGGAGTGTGTTTGAGGCCTTGGGTTCCATTCCTCACATGGTGAGAGAGATGGGGGAGGAGGAGATGGGGGCGGGGAGAAGGAGAAGATGGAGGAGATGGAAGAGGATGAGGTGGAGGCGGTGGGGGAGGAGGTGGAGGAGGAGGTGGAGGAGGTGGAGGTGGAGGAGGAGGAGATGGAGGTGGAGGAGGTGGAGGTGGAGGAGGTGGAGGTGGAGGTGGAGGTGGTGGAGGTGGATGGCTCCATGCATGGCTCATGGGTGTGGCTGTCCATGATGCCACCTCTTCTTGCGTCCTCCTTTCTGACCCTTGGCTGTGAAGAAGTGTGGCTGACAGCTGACTGTTCATGGGTTTACAGCCTGGCATGATGCGGACGGCCCGAGGGGGAGGAGGAGGAGGAGGAGGAGGAGGAGGAGGCAATTCTAAGAATTCTAACTTTTTGGGGGGGTTCTCTCTGTGTAAAGCATCCTTTCTAAGGCCCAGAGAACCTCTGCTGGGAGAGCAGATGCGTGGGCGGCTGGACTGGGGTGTGGTTTCAGGTCTGTGTCTAGCTCCTTCAGTGGCACCTTTCAAACAGGCAAGGACGTGCTGGGGACAGCAGCGTGGGCGTGGTCACCTGCGGGGAGGCTGGTACAGGCTGGGCAGCCGCTGCTGGGCGCAGAGTCACAGACGCTGGCGATTCGGTTCCATCCTCGGAGCTCTGCATGCTGGGACCTGGAGATGGAGAGAGAGCCCGGGTGGGTGAGGTGGTGGGGGCCAGGGTACCAGTTGCACACAGCTGAGGAAGGGCCCCCGAGATGGCCCCCTGCCTCAGTTGGCAGCTTGGAATCCAGGAGCTGAAGCTGTGGGAGTCGAGAGTTGCTGCTCAAGCGTGAGGACCCGAGTTTGAATCCCAAGCACCCATATAAAAAGTCAGGTGTGGGGTGCACATCGGTAACCTGAGTGCTAGAAAGGACACCTGAGGATCTCTAGGGCTCGCTGGCCAGGCAGCCTGGCCAAATCAGTGGTTCCAAGTTCCATAAGATCCCATTTCAAAAATTACGGTGGAAAGCAACTGAGAAAGACCTCGGGCCTCCACACATGCTCAACACACACAGAAGAAAGGGTGGAAATATTAATGTTTTTTTGTTGTTGTTGTTGGTGGTGGTGGTGGTCTTTTTGAGACAGGGTCTCCCAGTAGCCCCAGCTGTCCTGGAATTCACTATGGAGACCAGGCTGGCCTTGAACTCACAGAGATCCGCCTGCCTCTGCCTCCCGAGTGCTGGGATTAAAGGCATGTGCCACCACGCCTGGCTATTAATGTTACTTTTTACGTCTAGAGTGAGTGTGTGTTCTCACAAGCACGTTCTATCTATGTGTGCTGCCCCATGATGGCCACTAGATGGAGCCAGAGTCACACAGTGAATGACCAGATTTTAACACTGGTTTCAAAAGATGAATTTAAGAGGTGTGAGGTAGACCGTGCCTGCCCCAGCATCACAGCACTCTGGAGGGAGGTGGAGGCAGGAGAATCAGGAGTTCAAGGTCATCCTTTGCTATATATGGAGCTCAAGGCCAGCTTGAGCTACATGAGACTCTGTCTCAACACAAAACAAAAAGATAAGAAAACAAAACAAGATATAAGACAAATACTTAGGCAGATTTCTTTGAACACATAAGCAAAAAAAAAAAAAAATCAATGAGCCGGGCGTGGTGGTACATGCTTTTAATCCCAGCACTCGGGAGGCAGAGGCAGGCAGATCTCTGTGAGTTAGAGGCCAGCCTGGTCTACATAGTGAGTTCCAGGACAGTTGTGGCTACAGGGAGACCCTGTCTCAAAAAGAACAACAACAACAAAAAATCATTAATGAAAGACTAAAGGCCAGTGAGATGGGACCATGAGCAGTGAGTACAGGAGCTTGCTACCAAGCCAGAAAACCTGAGTTTGACACCCAGGACCCATATAGTGGAAGGAAAGAACTGGCTCCTGTAAGTTGTCCTCTGACTTCCATACATGCTGTGGTATGTGCCTCTCCCCCAATAAATAATTAAAAATACAGATCAATAAATTAATAAATCAAATGCAACATTCTAAACCAATAGAGGGGCCAGGGAGACAGCTCAGGGATCAGTCAGTAAAGTGCCTTGAAAGCATAAGGACTTATCTGGAACCCAGAAAAAGCTATGCTCAACTGGGCATGGTGGCACACGCCTTTAATACCAGAGGTACATGGATCTCTGTGAGACTGAGGCCAGCCTGGTCTACATAGCGAGTTCCAGACCAGCTGGGGCTACAGAAAGACGCTGTCTCAAAAAACAAGCCAACACATAAATAGGCTCTTATCTGTAATATATAAAAAGTACCTACAGTTCAATAACAAGACCAATAACTTACTAGGAGAAATGGGTAAAAAAAAGAAAAAAAAACAACAACAGGAACTTGACAAGGACATACAGAGGCCTCCAAAGCCTGTGGCATCATGTTCCACTTCCTCAGTACCTACAGAAAGGAGATGGGAGAATAAAATCCATTGTCCTGGCCCAGGAGTGAACACCTGTAATCCCAGTGCTCAGGAGGCAGAGGCAGGAGGAGTGTCACAAGTTCTAGGCCAGTCTAGGCTTCAGAGCGAGACTGTGTGTCAGGTTTAATAACACGCAGGTGCTTTGAGGTGCAGAATACCAAAAACCTTAGTGGGAGCTTGTAATGTATGAAGTCACACAGGTGTGATGAAAGGGAAGGCTGGGACTTCTTCCAGTGAGGCCGGTCCTGTAACCCCTCCAGCTCTTTCCCCAGGGATTATCCAAGAGATATGAAGACATGTGTCTATGCACAAGCCTGTACAAACATGCTCAACATGTGCCAAAATCACCACACTAGTGAAAAAAATCCAAATATTCTTCTTCAGGAAAAGGGTTATGAATTAGATTGTGGTAACTCACTTTTTGAGACAGGGAGCCGAATATGGCCCAGACTGGTCTAGAACCCACTGCATAGCTGAGGATGACCCTGAACTCCTGATCCTCCTGTTTCCATTTTCTGGGAGGTGGGGTGACAGGCGCTTGTGCTTACTAGGTGAGCTCTGCCCACTGAGCCCCAGCCTATGTCTTCAACTTTTAACAACAACAACAACAACAAAACTATAGAAATATAACAACTTGGAGGATGGGAAGGGTAGGGGCACAGAGATGATAAATGGCCCAGTGATGGCTAGTGGGGTGGGCTCCTTGTTGCTGTGCAGATGTGTAAGATTTCCATAATAAAAACACCCCGCACATAGCTGTGAGTTCAAAAGCAAGAGCAAAGCTCGGGGTGCGAATACTGCAGTCAGTGGCCCAGGCTGCATGCTCTACCCTCACTCACTGGAGATTCACCCTGGGGTCTAGGAACGCTCTTATGAGGGTGCTCCTGGCTAGAGTAGGGGCAGGGCCTGCCAAGCTCGGGGAGTCACTCTCACTGGTCGTTTGTTCGCCCTGTCCTGTTCTGTCTTCTGTTTTCTTCCACCTGGTGGAGGCTGGGGCAACCTGTTTGTGTGTGTCTCTGTCTGTCTTCCCCCTGTGTCCCCCTCATGAGGGCTCCAGGATGCTTGGAGCCAGCAGCCAGGGGAAGGGGTGTGAGGGGTGCTGTCACCAGCCGGGCAGGGCCTGTATCGTCCCTGAGGCTGGCACGGTTGTCAATGGTCCAAGAGGGAGCCAGAATCCAAAATACTGCATTTGACCCTGAACTTCATGGCGTTTTCGAGTAGGGGAAATGGGCCAATCTTTTCCAAGCAGTTGCACCTCAGAGTCCAGCCTGTCCCTGGCTGTCACCATCTTGGGGTGTCTGTGAGGGGCAGCAGAGCCACAGGCTGCAGCCGTGCTGGGGTTGGGGCTATGCCAGCTGGATCTGCATGGCAGTGCGCCCTGTTTACAAGAAAAACTCTTGGGTTGCCTAGCAACTGTCCGCTTCAGGAGCCATGAGCCATAGCTGGGCTGTCCCTGGCCACCCTGACTCACTGCGACCTTAAGCAATCTCTTTTCTGTCCCGAGCCTCTGTCCTTCCATCCCTTTGTCCACCCATCTGTCCCTCTGTTCATCTGTCCAAGGGAGCTCACCTTGTCCCCTGGGACCATGGGGGCGGGCAGTGTCCTGGTTCCCACTAGTTGGCTGCTTGCCTCTGACTCTTTGGCTGCAGGTGATTTCCGAGGTACTGGGCCCCAAGAATGCAATGTGCAATCTGCTCTCTGGGGCTTCTGTGGCCTACACCCACTCCATATCTGGAGCTGTCCTATGTGTCAGCCACATCCCCACACAAAGCCCAGGGTCCCCCAAGGGCAGAGTTACCCCAGCTGAGATCCAGGGGCTAGGGGATCCCAGAGATCCCCAGAGACCCTGCACCCCCTGGTCACCAGGACTGCTAAGGTCTGAGGAGGCCGCCATGTGGAAAGAACCAGGGGACCCCATGATCCTTTCTTCACCTGAACCTTTGGGGTGCCTGCTTTCACCCCTCAGCTCTTTCCCTGTTTGTTTTTTTTGTTTTTTTGTTTTTTTTTAGATAGGATCTCATTAGCCCAGGCTGGTCTCCAGCTCCCTACATAGGCCAAGGATGACCCTGAACTCCTGATCCTTTTGCCTTCACCGCCCTGTGCTGATGTAACAGGCAGCACTGTGCCAGGTTTCTGGGGTGCTGGAGCTGAACCTGGGGCCTAGTGTGTGCTGGGTGAGCTCTGTTCACCGAGCTACAGCCTCAGGCATTTTTGTCTTTGTACCAAAGGAATTTCAGGGTTGGAGCTGGCTCCGATTTTCTCTGCCATTAAAGCACCTTAAGAATTCAAATTCCTTTTTTGGGCTGGTGAGATGACTCAGTAGGTAAAGGCACTTGCCACCAAGCCGGACCACCTGAGTTCCATCCCAGGGACCCACATGGTGGAAGGTGGGAACTGACTCCTTCAAGTTGTCCTCTGACCTCCACACACAGAGATTAAATAAATAAATAATAATAATAATAAATGTAATAATAATTGGATTCCTTTTTCCTTCAGTAACCACTGGGCCTTCCTCAGTGGCCAAATGTCCTTCCTTCAGGGGAGCCACAGGCCAGGCTCTGCCTGGGCAGTGGGGGCCACTGGCAGTCCCTTAGGTCACAGGGTCTCATTTCAGAGCCTGGTGTGACTGGAACATTCTTAGCCAGCCTCCTTCAATTCATGGGGCTACTACCATAACAGGGGACACCAGTCTTAAAGAAATGGGATTTGATCTTTTTTTCCCTTGAGGTGCTGGGATAAACCAGGGTCCTGGGCTCCCTGCCCCATCTACTGTCCAACACCCTCCAATTCCCATGACAACTTTTATGCTACAAGGGGACTAGAGTGGAGACAGAGACCAGCAAAACCCTAAAATATAGAAATAGTCTCCTGGCCCCTTTTAGAAGGTTCTAGAACCTTTTGCTTAGAAGGAGGGATGAGCCCTCAGCTAAGCCCGGTTGCCCACTGTGGGGCTCTGTGCACAGACAAGTTCACATCACAGGGGCCCTATCTTAGGACAGTGTCTCTGGCCACCATGGTTCATCACCTTTTACACCTGTTGCCATGTGGTGGCTATGGGCTTCAGGTCAAAGTGTCTGTCCCAGTCTCTCCTGCCACTTCCCATCACTGTGCCCCCCTTCTGGGGAGGGGCTCAGTCCCCTACTTTAGGCAGGCCCCTGCCTCCTTATACCTGGGATGACCACACCTCCTATACAGCACCTTCTTGCCAGCCAG